CTATTTAGGTCTTCTGCCCATCTTTTGATTGGGTTGTTTGAGTTTTTGGTATTGAGCTGCATGAGCTGCTTGTATATTTTAGAGGTTAATCCTTTGTCGTTTGATTCATTTGCAAATATTTTCGCCCTTTCTGAGAGTTGTCTTTTCATCTTGTTTATGGTTTCCTTTGCTGTGCAAAAGCTTTTAAGTTTAATTAGGTCCCATTTATTTATTTTTGTTTTTATTTTCATTACTCTAGGTGGTGGGTCAAAAAGGATCTTGCTGCAATTTATGTCAAATAGTGTTCTATGTTTTCTTCTTTTTCAAAAAAAAATTATTTATTTTTGGCTGTGTTGGGTCTTCACTGCTGTGTGCAGGCTTCCTCTAGTCGCGGTGAGCGGGGGCTACTCTTTGTTGCAGTGCATGGGCTTCTCATTGCGGAGGCTTCCCTTGTTGTGGACCATGGGCTCTAGGCACGTGGGCTTCAATAGTTGTGGCTCACAGGCTTTAGAGCACAGGCTCAGTAGTGGTGGCGCATGGGCTTACTTGCTCCAAGGCATGTGGGATCTTCCCGGACCGGGGCTCAAACCCGTGTCCCCTGCATTGGCAGGCAGATTCTTAACCACTGTGCCGCCAAGGAAGTCCCCATGTTTTCTTGTAAGAGTTTTATCATGTCTGGCCTTACATTTAGGTCTTTTAATCCATTTTGAGTTTATTTTTGTGTATGGTGTTAGGGAGCGTTCTAATTTCATTCTTTTACATGTAGTTGTCCAGTTTTCCCAGCACCACTTATTGAAGAGATTGTCTTTTCTCCGTTGTATATTCTTGCCTCCTTTTTCATATATTAGGTAACCGTAGATGCTTGGGTTTATCTCTCAGCTTTTCTATCCAGTTCCATTCATCTATATTTCTGTTTTTGTGCCAGTACCATATTGTCTTGATTACTGTAGCTTTGCAGTATAGTCTGAAGTCAGAGAGCCTGATTCCTTCAGCTCCATTTTTCTTTCTCAGGGTTGCTTTGGCTATTCAGGGTCTTCTGTGTTTCCATACAAATTGTAAAAATTTTTGTTCTAGTTCTGTGAAAAATGCCATTGGTAATTCAATAGGGATTGCATTGAATCTGTAGATTGCTTTGGGTAGTATAGTCATTTTCACAGTGTTGATTCTTCCACTCCCAAGAACATGATATATCTCTCCATCTGTTTGTGTCATCTTTGATATTTTTCATCAGTGTCTTACAGTTTTCTGCATACAGGTCCTTTGCCTCATTAGTTAGGTTTATTCCTATGTATTTTATTCTTTTTGTTGCAATGGTAAATGGGATTGTTCCTTTAATTTCTCTTTCTGATTTTTTTTGTTGTTAGTTTATAGGAATTCAAGAGATTTCTGTGTATTAATTTTGTACCCTGTGACTTTACTAAATTCGTTGATTAGCTGTAGTAGTTTTCTGGTGGCATCTTTAGGATTTTCTGTGTATAGTATCATGTCATCTGCAAACAGTGACAGTTTTACTTCTTCTTTTCCAATTTGGATTCCTTTTATTTCTTTTTCTTCTCTGATTGCTGTGGCTAGGAGTTCCAAAACTATGTTGAATAATAGCGGTGAGAGTGGACATCCTTGTCCTCTTCCTGATCTTAGATGACTTGCTTTCAGTTTTTTTACCATTGAGAATAATGTTTGCTGTCGGTTTGTCATATATGGCCTTTATTATGTTGAGGTAGGTTCCCTCTATGCCCACTTTCTGGAGAGTTTTTATCATAAATGCGTGTTGAATTTTGTTGGAAGCTTTTTCTGCATCTGTTGAGATTATCATATGGTTTTTCTCCTTCAATTTGTTAATATGGTGTATCACATTAATTGATTTGCATATATTGAAGAATCCTTACATCCCTGGGATAAATCCCACTTGATCATGGTGTATGATCCTTTTACTGTGTTGGATTCTGTTTGCTAGTATTTTGTTGAGGATTTTTGCATCGTGTTCATCAGTGATATTGGTCTGTAATTTTCTTTTTTTGTCGTATCTTTGTCTGGTTTTGGTATCAAGGTGATGGTGACCTCAGAATGAGTTTGGGAGTTTTCCTGTCTGCAGTTTTTTGGAAGAGTTTGAGAAGCATCGGTGTTAGCTCTTCTCTAAATGTTTAATAGACTTCTCTGAAGCCATCTGGCCCTGGGCTTTTGTTTGTTGGAATATTTTTTTTTTTTTTTTTTTTTGCGGTATGCGGGCCTCTCACTGTTGTGGCCTCTCCCGTTGAGGAGCACAGGCTCTGGACGCACAGGCTCAGCGGCCATGGCTCACGGGCGCAGCTGCTCCGTGGCATGTGGGATCTTCCCGGACCGGGGAACGAACCTGTTTCCCCTGCATTGGCAGGCGGACTCTCAACTGCTGCACCACCAGGGAAGCCCTGTAACTTCTGCTTTTTCATTTCTAATTTTATTGATTTGAGTCTTCTCCCTTTTTTTCTTGGTGATTCTGGCTAATGGTTTATCAACTTAGTTTATCTTCTCAAAGAACGAGCTTTTAGTTTTACTGATCTTTGCTTTTGTTTTCTACATTTCTTTTTCACTTATTTCTGCTCTGATCTTTTTGATTCCTTTCCTGCTATACTAACTGTGTGGGGGGTTTTTGTTTTGTTTTGGGGGTGTTTTTTTTTTGATTTGTTTTTTGTTCTTTCTCTGATTGCTTTAGGTGTCAGGTTAGGTTGAGATTTTTCTTGTTTCTTGAGGTAGGATTGAATTGCTATAAACTTCCCTCTTAGAACTGCTTTTGCTGCATCCTGTAGGTTTTGGGTCATGTGTTTTCATTGTCATTTGTTTCTAGGTATTTTTCGATTTCCTCTCTGATTTCTTCAGTGATCTCTTGGTTACTTAGTAGCGTATTGCTTAGCCTGTATGTTTTTGTGTTTTTTCACTTTATTTTCCTGTAGTTGATATCTAATCTCATAGTGTTGTGGTCAGAAACGATGCTTGATATGATTTCAGTTTTCTCAAATTTACCAAGGCTTGATTTGTGACCCAAGATGTGATCTATCCTAGAGAATGTTCCGTGTGCACTTGAGAAGAAAATGTATTCTGCTACTTTTGGATGGAATGTCCTGAAGATATCAATTAAGTCCATGTGGTCTAGTGTGTCATTTAAGGCTGTGTTTCCTTATTAATTTTCTGTCTGGATGATCTGCCCATTGGTGTAAGTGGGCTGTTAAAGTCCCCCACTATTATTGTGTTACTGTTGATTTCTCCTTTTATGGCTGTTAGCATTTGCTTTATGTACTGATGTGCTCCTATGTTGGGTGCATAAATATCTACAGTTGTTATGTCTTTTTCTTAATCATTATGTAGTGTCCAAGGCATAATACATTTTAACTGGAGAAAAACACAGGTTTAACTAGTAACTTCAATATAATGACTGCTGAATGACTAAATGTATATGGTAAGATTTCCAAAGCTCTAAAACATGCCCATTCTTTATGCTCTATTCCAGTGGTCCCCAGCCTTCCTGGCCTCAGGGACTGGTTTCGTGGAAGACAATTGTTCCACAGACCCTGGGGGGGATGGTTTTGGGATGATTCAAGCACATTACATTTATTGTGCACTGTATTTCTATTATTAATACATTGTAATACATGAAATAATTATACAACTCACCATAATGCAGAATCAGTGGGAGCCCTGAGCTTGTTTTCATTTGCTACTCACTGATAGGGTTTTGATATGAGTCTGCAAGCAATTGATTATGGTGTGTGTGCAGTCAAACCTCTCTGCTAATGATAATCTGTATTTGCAGCCACTCCTCAGCGCTAGTATCTCCGCCTCAGCTCCACCTCAGATCATCAGGCATTAGATTCTCATAAGGAGCGTGCAAACTAGATCCCTCACATGTGCAGTTCACATTAGGGTTTGTGCTCCTATAAGAATCTAATGCTGCCGCATTAGATTCTGACAGGAGGCGGAGCTCAGGAGGTAATGTGAGCAATGGGGAGTGGCTGGAAATACAGATGAAGCTTCACTTGCTGGCCCGCTCCTCACCTCCTGCTGTGTGGCCTGGTTCCCAACAGGCCATGGACCCATACTGGTCCATGGCCTGGGGGTTGGGGACCCCTGCTCTGTTCAATAAAATTAAAGGGTTATCATATTTTATATGCTCAAGGTGTGTTCCTGGGCAATAATGTATTCCATTGATATAACAAATTAGTAAATTGATTATTTAAAATAGTAAATTGAACTAAGGAACTAATTTCTTTGGTCTGATGAATTTCTGAAGTCTAATAATTTCAGGTTTGTACTACAGTCACCTTTAAAGTGTCATAAGCCCCACACTGAATTCAAATTAAACATCTAGGAAGATAATTTGATATGCATTTATGGAATCCTCAGTGGCTTGCCCATGCCTGTTACATATAGCTAAACTAGGTAACATTATCTAGTGAGCAAGGCCCTATACCAGCAATGTGTAGGCTGTGGAGAATTTACAAATATGTGTGGATGTCCAGTTGTTAAGGTACTAAGAGCTAGGCTACTGGAGCCAAACACACCACCTACCCAATATATTATCTTTTAAAACACGCTGGATATAACCCACTGACCCCATACCTCCTAATATTCTTTAGCCTAATGGGTGACTATTTTGAGACTCAGGCTTTACACAGGACAGGGATATAAGTAATCCCACTGGTGATCAAACTTTATCTTTCTTTACATAAACTGCTGCCAAGTCAACAAAATCCCATTTTAAAAGATGCTGTTAATGAAAAATTTTACTGGGATTAATCACAAATTTATCTGTTAGGTTAAGATTTCTACATGACAGTCTCCTTAACCATGTCCTAAACACTTGTAGAACAAAATATTTAGCTATCTTCAGTTTGTTATAATTGGTTCTGACTGAATCAAAACATATAAACATATCCCCTTCTGAAAATAGGTAGTGTAGCCCAGATTTATAAATTTATCCTCATTTTAAAACTAGCAATGCACTATAGTTAGTATAATTAACACAGTGGCTGTCAGGAAGCTTGTCATTCATATATCAAGCAATATATTTTACATTCGGCAAACTTAATTTTTATCAAATGTCCTTTAATTTCATAGACAACAATATGATACATATTGTATAAGAAGCACACAATAGTTTTGCAGTACAATTTCAAAGTGTATACAAATTGGAATACAGAGGTTAAACACTGGTGTGCTGACAGCATTTTTGAACTCTGGATAAACTGCATACAAAACTTACAATTCAAATCTTAGCCAATCTGGAAACTTTACTTCCTATAATATAAAAATGATACTTTGAGATGCAAAATATTGTTTACTAACAAACTATATAAACATTTAAAATAATCATTAAAAACTCAACTTTAGAATTTATAAAGATTAGCTATAAAAATATATTGGCAGTCACATTTCTTATAAATGTACCATTCACTACATTACAAAATAGTCTCTCACATAAAATTGCCTTAGTAACTGTACTATTTTAGAATCTGATAAACCTTACATTAAACCAATTATAAAATCCTCTTGGAAAACTTTGGTATGCATCTTCAGAAGGTTTTTAAAATACTCTAACATCTCAAGGGCCTGTAAACATTCCATTCTATTAAAGCACAACAGAATAAGTAATGTATATTTAACTGCATACAGAATATAGAATCAAAAAACAATTTATTAAATATTTGTAGAAAATCACCATTCCCAGAGTAACCAAAAAACAAACCATTTAAAAGTATCAAACTTTTAAACAATTCTCTTTCCATTCTGATAAAAAAATGTTACAAAAATCACCACACTCCACTCATGTACCTTAGATGCCTTTTAGGACAAGGCCTCAAAAATAGTTAACCCAGTCTCAAAAATCCTCTCAAGTCCAATAAACAAACTTTTAAAAACCCATTTAAGACCTGATGATAGAGCAAGTATACATAATCAGAACACACAGTTTATATATATAGTTGTGTATTAGCTTTTTTCTATTTGTAATTTAGAATTTATTGGCAGAAGTTGCACACACACACAATTGAAAAAGGTAAATTTTAGGAAACGGTAAGAAATGCAAACCTATAGGGTAAATTGATTTATTTTTAAAAATCTGATTTATCAAATTTCATCTTATCTGCCATTTTTGGAGTATGACAACTATTGTTATTTAGAAAATTTGAATTTGTGAAAGTTCATTTCTTGTTTCTTGAGTATGTTTAATTTTTACAGAGCTTCCAGTTGTGCCAGTGACCTCCTTGAGGTCTTTTTCCACTTTATCCTCTGTCACCAGATCTCTTGCATAAGATATTTATCTCTGAGTTGCAAAAGCCTAAATAAAAAGCTTCATTTTTGACTTTTTAATTCATAAAACTCCACTAAAAAAGAAATTCTAATTTTTAGGCAAGTCCACAAAAATATTTTCTTTCTTAAGCATCAAACACTTTTATTAGAATAAAGATCCTTCAAAGTTTTCAACTCTTCTATTAGAGTTTTATTTTGATTTTCCAGGACTGCAACTCGATTTTCCAGACATTTCACATATTCTTTCTTCTTTCTGCGACATTCTCGAGCAGCTTCTCTAAATGTAAGCATTAAAAAAACCAATGTTAGAAAAAAGTTCACATTCCTTAAATGGTAAATGCACTTCAGTAATCTTCCCTGGTCATTTTTTCCTCATTAAAAAAAATTAAGGTATAATCTATATACAGTGAAACACAATGATCTTCAGTGCAGAATTCAATCAGTTTTGGCAAATGCATATACCTGTATAACCCACCCACTCATCAAGACATACATTTTTATTGCCCCAGAAAGTTCCCTCATGCCCGTTCATTTCCCCAAGCAACTACTGTTTTGATTTTTATCACCATAGATGAAATTTTTCCTATTCTAGAACTTCAGATACCAGAGTCATACAGAATGTACTCTTGTGTCTCATCTCCTTTCACTCAGTATATTTTTGAGGTTTATCTGTGTTACTGTGCAGTGGTTTGTTCCTTTATATTGCTGGGCATATTCCACTGTATGAATATCATTACAATTTGTTGATCCATTCTCTTGGGTTGTTTTCTAGTTTTAGCTGCTGTGCATGTTCTTGTGCCAGTCTCTTTGTGAACATATGTCCCATTTCTCTTGGATAAATACCAAGAAATGAAATTTATGGGTCCTCTTATTAACTTTTGGCACATAGATTCTCTAATTTTTATTTATTGAGTTTTAATTACAAACAGTGCTTTCATTCTCAGTTTTGTACATGTCCTGTTAGAATATTTCTATGGATTTACATTCAAGTTTTACATACATATAGAGGTAAAAAGTATTATTTTGAGTATTTTTTATACTATGGACTGTAGATATTATCTGCAACTTGCTTTTCTTACACATACTGTTTTAATGATGTTTCTGTTGAAATACTGGTACACAGTTCTTTGCCATGTGGATGTTTCATTGTTAATTAATTTTCACTTCCCTAACTACTAGTGTGATTGAGCATATTCTCAAAAATTTAATGGTCTTTCAAATCTGCTCTTACATAATTTGCCTATTCATACCCTTTTCCATTCATACATTTTGCCCATTTTACAATTAGACATTATTTGAAAGATGAACAACCTAAGAACTCTCAGTGCATTATACACAGTAACCCTTTATCTGTTTCTACATTATTTTCTAATCTACCACTTGATTTCTGATATTTTTATTTCTTAATGCAATAAATGCTCTTTTTTAAACTTTCTTGGCTTAGATTAAAATGTGATACACTATGTATTTCTCTCTAAATTTTATCTTAAAGATTTTATTGCTTAATTTTCAGTTAAGTCTTTAATCCATCTGCAATTACTTCTGTATATGGTATCAAACAGGAGTCCAATTTAATTCTCCTCCAGATGTGGAGCTGTGTCAGTATCATTTCAAAAATATATTCAACATTTTTTCAGTTGGGTTGTACTTCTGATTAATTCAGAAGATCTTTATATTTTCAAACAAATCTGTTTGTTTTTGGTTAGATATGTTGCAAATATCTTCTATAGGTTTGAAGCTTATATTTTCATTCACTTTATCTTCTGATGAAAAGAAGTTACTCATTTTAATGAGGATTCATCAGTTTTTCATGTTAATTATTTTGTGTTTATGTGTGTTGTTTTAAGGAATCTTCCTTATACTTGAAACCATGAGATTATACATTTTCACCTAAAAGTTTTTAAAATTTCACCTTTCACATATATGTTTTTAATCCATTTAGTATGATTTTTGTGTATGGTGTGAGGAAGAAATCCAATATATTTTTTCACATATAAATATCTTAGCACCATTTATTGGAGTCCCTCCTTCCCCCAATAATCTGCCCTACCAGGGTTTCTTTCATGTATTCACAGATCTGTTTCTGAGCTCCCTACTCTATTTCACTGGTGATTTTATCTCAATGCCAATATAACATGATTTGAATGACCACAGCTTTAAACAAAACTTGATATCTCCTCACCTTATTCTTGTCTGGAATATTTTGGCTGCTCTTGGCCCTTTACTCTTCTACAAATTTTAGTATCAACTTGTCAAGTTCTTCAAACAACCTGTTTGGGTTTTGATTGGAACTGCATTGAATCTATGGATCAATTGGGGGGAAAAATAGTCATCTTTATAATACTGAGTTTCCATATCTATGGACATAGTATATTTCTGCATTTATTTAGATCTTCCTTAATGTCTTTCAAAAACATTTTACAATGTTTTCCGTAAATGTTCTGGACAGCTTTTGTTAGATTTATTCTTACATATTTTATTTATTGATAATATAAATGGTATCTTTTAAATAATTATTTACTTTCTGCATTTATTTAGATCTTCCTTAATGTCTTTCAAAAACATTTTACAATGTTTTCCGTAAATGTTCTGGACAGCTTTTGTTAGATTTATTCTTACATATTTTATTTATTGATAATATAAATGGTATCTTTTAAATAATTATTTACCAAACTCTTTATTGATGATGTGAAGAGATACAGTTGATTTTTTTTTTTTTTTT